TTGGCAGGGTCAAGTTTTTGGATTTTTTAAAAAAAGTAATTTTGATATTGTATTTGATTTATTTTATGGATGGGTTTATTATTTTTGAGACAGGGGTTGCTCAGTGATGTTTCTCATTGTTAGTTATCCAGAATCTTTGGGAATGGGCAGTATACAAATAAATAGACAGATAGCCATTATGTTGGGTTATGATATATGTTTTTTCTTCTCAGTATTATATGCATATTACATATTTGTAATTTCATTTGTTTTACATTTGATTTGATTAATTTGATTACATCAGCTCGCCCCATTAGATCTGGCAGGGAAGGTACGCTACGCATTCCATTGGCCAGGGACTTGCATTTGGTGGATCCCAGGAGGCCGGCCTTCTCTGCCGTGGCTCCCTCCTTGTGAAACATTCTCCCTCCTCAAGTTAGTTTCACCTCTTCCCTGCTGTCACTTAGGAAGTCCCTTAAGACCTGGTTATGTCATCAGGCCTGGGGGTCTTTGGGAACCGGAGACATTCTTCGATGGCTCCACTGTGTTTGATATTCTGTTCTCTCCGTGGGGTTTGTATATTTTAAATTTTAAATTTTTTTTGTTAATGTTTCCATTTTAATCACTTTTTTATTTTTTATAATGATTGTTTTTATCCATTTGTTATTTTATTCAATTGTTGTACGCTGCCCAGAGTTGCTTTGTGTAAGCTGGGCAGCTATATAAATGTGATAAATAAATAAATAAATATTTATGTAATGAAAATATGATTAGAGTTGGTTGAAAGAAGAAATCCTCATGGAAGCATTTTTTAAATTATATATGTTAATTTGTTTCTCTGTCTTGGAACTAACTTCTCTCATCTTCAGCAGGGCATATTAAAAGGATTTAAAGGAGAATTAATTCATGTTTACAACAAACATGATGGGGCCTTGAAAAATACAGAATACTTCAAACAATTAAAAGACAACAGCAATATCATATTACTTGGAGACTCTCAAGGAGACTTAACAATGGCAGATGGTGTGGCAAATGTTGAACATATTCTTAAAATTGGGTATCTCAATGATAAAGTAAGTGTGTAAGTCATTGATAAGCATAAAATATATTGTAAAATTCCTATTCCCCAGTTTTCTATATTGTTTATGTTTTTATGATCTGCTTCTCTCTGCCTGTAGTAACTGCCCACTAATCTTGTTTTAATATATCATAATTGTAAAATCATTTTTCCATCTATGTGTATCTACTTCAGAATCTAGTTCAGTATAAGCTTTTGAATGCCTTTGCAGTCAGATTTGAAAACAGAATTAAATGTATGGCAGATAGAAAATATTGTATGGGAGAATGGTTTGTTTTAATTCATTATTCTGCAGAATGGTAATGGTGAATTCCTCGCTGATGTTATTTATATACTCTCTGCTAAATTAGAAGGTTTTTTTTTTAATAATTCACTATTCAAAGATTCAGATCAGTAAAACCAGACTGAAAAAACGTTACGTTCATTCTCATGCATTATTTTGCTGAAAAATATCCTCAAAGATATACTTACAATATACTCAATCTAATTACAATTTAGTAGGCCAGGTGTGTTAGAAATTAGATAAATAACTAAAATATAACCATCTTCAGAGTCTTCAAACTGCTCCCAGACATTTTGCTAAGGAAGGTTAGACTACCTTTCTCTTATTTCACCACCAGCAGATAATATTTATGTAAGAGGCCTTTAAAGGTTTAGCTGGATTTTAAATACAGGTAGTCCTTGACTTATGACCATTCATTCAATGTCCGTTCAGAGTTACAATGGCGCTGAGCGAATGGTGGTTACAGTCAGTCCTCAGTTCTGGCCGTCCCAATACCCCCACGATCACATGATCATGATCTGAACGCTTGGCAACCGGTCACAGTCATGTGATTGCCATTTGCAACTTTCCCTGCGAGCTTCCCCAGGAAATCAATGGGGAAGCTGGCAGGGAAGGTTACAAGTTGCTAGAGTAAGTCTCCCCCACTTAAGCACCCTCCTCCAGCCCCTCTGTGCTCGCATGAAGCTGGCCAATAGCATACCTCTGCATACTCTCCCTGAGCCATGCTGTGCCTCCCCTGTGCACCCTCCCCAAGCCTCACCATGCCTCCCTTGCACCTCCATGCACCCTCACACACTCCCCTGAGCCTTGCCGTGCCTCCCTCACACATCCTTGTGCGCTTCCCTGCACCCTCCCCGAACCTCACCATGCCTCCCTTGTATCCTTGTACACCCCCTTGTACCCTCCCTGACCATCACTATGCCTCCCTCATGCACCCCCATGCACACTCCCCAACCCTTGACATGCCTCCCTTGGGGACCTTCCCCAAACCTTGCTGTGCCTCCCTAGCACCCTCTCACATCTCTTTGCGCCCTCCCCCACCCAGCAGCAGCCACTTACCTGCCTTCCGGTCTGCTTGCAAGCTGTCTGGGGCTTGCAACTACCTGCCAGCTTCCCCATTGGCTTGGTTGTGGGAAGCCAGCAGGAAGTTGCCTCACCTAATGACCATGGGATTTGGTTAACAATGGCAACTGGGACTGCAAGGATTGCTGTTGCTAAGTGATGCGGTCACGCTTTATGACTGCATTGCTTAGTGATGGAAAATTCCAGTCCCAATTGCTCTCATAAGTTGAGGATTACCTTGACTCAATGAAATCTATTTTACTGATGTTTTAACTACACAATTAAAGCAAATTATTTTTTGGCACTTCATTTTACTCTTAACCACTGTTGGTGCCACTGCTTAGCAGAAAGATGGATACAAGTGCTTTAAAAGAAATCAAAAATATTTATGGCTCAGGGCATATAAATATTAGCCATACTTATGTTTCATACTAAAGCAGGGGATACTGTTTTGGTATAATATTCAGGTTTATTTCAGATTTCAGGAACATTGTATCTGAACCCATATACACCTGCATTCATTCCCCAAACACATTTTCAAAACTTGATTGCAGCATCTGTCAGAGAAAAGCTTTTTACTCCAGAGCAGTGTTTGTCAATCCTGGGAACTTTATGATGTATGGACTTCAACTCCCAGAATTCCCCAGCCAGCATGTTCACATATCCTAAAGTTGCCAAGGTTGAAAAACACTGCTCCAGACGATTAAGGACAACATCTGTGAAAGATGCTGTTCAATAGTAGTCCTTTATTTTGGTCATTACCATGAAAATTTATATTCAGTGCTAAAATTAAAGTCATCCCATTATGCCAATAAGTTCAACTTATATACTATAAGAATAACTAGGGCTTAAAGTGCTAGCACAAATATAGAAACATAATTCCAATGCCACTAAGGTTTTCTATATATAGTTAGCATTTCAAAAATCAATGATAAATACAACTATATAAATCTGTTTAGGAGTTGTACTATTATATAAACTATATATAATGCTAAAAATGACTAAGTACAAATTACTAGACAGTATATAAAATTACTAAATTGCTAAAATCTATAGGTATTTCAGACTGACTATTAATGATGTGACCGTAATACTATGGTGCAGAAATTTATGTAGGGCATAAAAGGGATGATGAGGAATCTAAAGACTGAATAGGCATTGCCTTAGTCATCCTGATGGCTCCAATGCCTAAGAGTGTAAATTATGGTGAATAGGTTAAATATACTGTATAAAACAACATTTAAAAAAAGTAAAATTAGCACCTAATAATAAAAAATAACAATTTATTCTGACATTTTAAAACTACATATAACTGGAATTAATAGCAGTTTGGACTCTAAATAGTACACTAATCTTAACCAAAATGGAACACTTTTAAGTATTATCTGAAATGGGTAGAAAGGGACTTCCAGAGGAAGAAATGGTGGACTAAAGACAGCTCTGCGAAAAGCGGAGCTGACAACTGCAGCAAAGAATGAAGAGCCGGCAAGTACACCAGTGCTTTGAATCTCTTCAGACAAGGAGAGGACTTGACATCACCCACAAGTGCTCCAGGCAGCTGCTCCTTATGTGGAGAGCGCAAGATAGCAATCTCCGACAGATTTAAAGCTCTGCAAGACAAGGGAATAACCATCTTGCTTAAACCACAGTTGGTGCCTTTGAAGGGACACTAAGTTTGCATACTTCCTTTTCTAATCACTTTCAGAAATTGCTTGTTAACTGCTTTTCAGCTATTAGGAACCCTTAGATTGACAGGTTTGACAGCACCTGGTGAGTTTCCCTTCAGTCCTTAGCAAATGAAAGTTTTAACTATAAGTTTAAGAACATACATTCATACATATATATACACAGTTGCAAGAAAAGGTATGTGAACCTTTTGGAATTTCATGGTGTTCTGCATTAATTTGTCATAAAATGTGATCTG